GACCCTGTTTTCTTATTAAGTTTTTGAGATATAGTACCCCGGATATCAATATCCCCCGGTATCAATTAAATATATTCTAATAATATAATAATTATATAATTATTATTATTTAATTATTTTCTTACAAGTCAGTTAATAGCTATATTCATTATATATTCATTATATATTGATTATATATCCATTATAATAATATTTTTATTATATAATAACTATATAGCTATTATATAATGATTATATTTTTCAAAATACACAGGTTTCTGTAAAGTCTCAAAATCGACACAAAAGCTGTCCACCATGCATATCAGATTTGAGAGGGTATACTGTAATACCTTTTTTATGCTATTATGTTCTATTTAATCAAGCTTATCATACAAATTTTAAACATTTAAAATCTTAGAACTAAATTTGAGAACTGAAAAACGAAAAGTATTCGTTTATTTTTTCTTTTTTTAGGTGAAGCATGCTACCCACCTATTTCGGTGTTATTTGTGTTCAGAATTTACAAACTCAAACTACATCACGAACACCCACGTCCTTCTCTAGGCCATAATACCCAACGGTTATTCTTGGCAACATAGAAAGACTTTAGTTATTGATCAATAAAATTAGGGTTCTTCTAGGCATCTCTAGCTAGAGATGCCTATCGATAATATTTCGGGCTTAATAGCCAATTAAAATGCAAATAAATCATGTGGTTGCCATTTTCGTGTAGCACAAAGGGAAATTGACAGGGCTTAGGATCGATTTTCCGATCACGTGATAATGTCAGAAAACTTGGAATTTTTGTTTACGTTAAGGTTTTAGTTTGATGGAAGTTCATTTTAGAGTTACAAAGGCTATTCTAATAGTAAAATCACGCATGGAAAATTTTTACAGGTTAAATTCTGAGATATTCTCGATTTTTTCAAAAAGAGTGATTTTTTTACGTTACATCTGATCGTGAATTCTCATTGGCTAATTTTAGCTCAGAAAATCACGTGATCGGAAAATCGATCCTGCGCCCTGGCGTTGTTAGCGCAAAGGTAATCAGTCCGACAAAACAAAACAACAATAAAAGAGCGAAAAAAGTGAAAAAAGTCAAAAATACAAAAAAAACGTCCATCTAAACCTATTCTGGTGTACTAATTAAAAATGTCGGGAAGACAATTTTATATATAAAGCTTGTCTTCGCTCTAACCTTGTGCAACCCTAACTTTAGTTAAAATCATATGATCAAATGTAGTTTTACGCTGGAGATGCATAAGCTAAATATCTCTGGCTAGAATTTTCCATAAAATTAAACAAGAAATTTAACAGAAATTCTATATTTCATCTTGTATTACTTTTTTGTTTATACATAATCAATTAACATATTGATGAAATTTGGCACTTGTAAAAAAAAATGAATAATTTTGCTGTATAATATTGTAGCATTATTAACTAAATGCATTTTTAATACTGTATATATACACATACGCGATGTCCGTATGTCCACCACTTTGAGTCTGTCTTATGTTACTAACATAACGTTACTCTAGTCAATGATTCTAAAATATTTTTGATCTTTAAAATATTGTACGTAGATTATTGAATACAGTGACTAAACAAATAATATGAAAAAATGTCAAAGAAATAAAGCATTATATATTAAAAGGAGAGAATAATATTCATCTATTAGGAATTAATTAATTATTTTTATTTTTAAAAAAAATTAGCGACGACCTTTCTTGAAGCGTAGTACAAGATAAAAACCCATTCTGAAAGCAATCGTTAAACCGACGAGCGCCAACTAGTTGAAATAAAAAAAAAATATATTGTTAAAAATATTGAAAATTGATTTAGAAATTTATGTAAAGTTTTAAAGAATTCATACCGCCCATTTCGCAAGATTAATTTCAGTGTAACCATAACTATCCAATACATCTTGACCGGTAAAAGTTGAGTTATTACCCGTTAAATCACCATACTTACAATCATATTCGTGAGGGGGCTTATCGGCAATTTTATCACAGTCAAAAGTCAAACCAACAAAGTCATTTTTAATAATTGCTTCAAATGCCCATTTTTGATAATCAATATAATGAGCCCATTTCAAAACCTTAGGAATTTTATCACGTCTTACAAAGAAACCTTCGACAACCATGAAGAAACCATTAGCGAAAGCAACTAAAGTTAGTGAGGCAACGAAAATAGGGATGATTGCTGAAATAAAAACGACCATTGATTCAGCCACGATAAGAGCAAGGAAAAGAAAAAAACCGAAGCGGATCGCATGATCAAGATCGCCATTTAGACCAATCATAGGGTAAGCTACAACAGTAAATGAAGCGGCAATGATCATTACAAATGGAATAGCGATTATTGTATTTGCCAATACATAAGGACCAACTGAATAAAAATTATTTCCACGTTCACGTTGAAATACTAAACGTTCTTCCAAGAAACCAGGTATACCAGCAACGCTCATAAAAGCAAGGAATGCAACGGAAAAGAAATGAGCTGCGAAACGATCTTGAATATTTTCTTGTTTATAACCGACTTGCCACCAAGTAATACCCATCAAAACAGCCAGACACACGTACATAGCAACACGAACCCAAAACATTAAAATGTTACGCATAGCATTCTTGAGCGAACGTACGGTTAAAAACCAGGTCTGGGCAAAAAAACTACGAGCATAACGACTAGTTGAACGAGATTTTAAATACATATTAGGTTTGGTAATATTACGAATTTCAGCCAAAGTAGTAGAATGTGCTTTTGATTGTTCATAAGAAACGATAAAATTATCAATATGTTTTTCAGCTTCAGTCTTATCCACCATGAAATCAGAATTGATCAAACGAAGATAATGATCAGCAGGATTCGCATAAGGAGGGCATACATGACCTAAACCTTCAAAATATGAAGTAGCATTTTCACGGTTACCAAAATATAGAGTATGACCTCGACCAATCAAGCATAATTTATCGAATAAAGAATAAGTTTCTGTTGAAGGTTGATGAATGCTAGCAATCACAGTCAATTTATGTTTTCGAGCCATTTCGCCAATAGATTTCATAACATGATAAGCGGCAGCAGAATCAAGGCCACTAGTCGGTTCATCCAAAAATATTATCTTTGGTAAGGTTATAACTTGAGAAGCAATCGAAGCGCGTCGTTTTTCACCACCTGACACACCACGTATAAATACAGTACCAATTTTAGAGTTGGCTACCCTACTTAAACCGAATTCTTCGATGATTTGTTGTACACGGATAGCCCTTTCATCTGCTCCCACATAGGAAGGAAAACTGCATACATAAGATATATTAGTAAAAAGATAGTATTAACTATAAATTGACCATGGCTTTGACAATAACATTATGGTATCGACAATGATATTGACAGTCATATTGATCATTATTATATTGATAAGGATAATTATATTGACCATTATAATTATTATATTGCCCATGATATCATGATATTAACCATTATATCTATTGTGGCAGTAATGCTGAAATTGGCAGATCTGAAATTTCGAATCATGAAAGTTTAAAAAATTGTTTTCAAAAATTAAATTAAGATTTAGGATTAAAACTATAATAAAAAAAATATCATAGATTTAAATGAAGATCTCAAATTGCAATATCAGCTGATTTCAACATAACTTGCCACATTTATCATGTTATCATACTTTAAAAAAACTCACCATAAATCAGCAGCAAATTGAATATTTTCTTTTACTGTTAATACACCTGAGTCAATTAATTAATAGAGATATAAAAAAGATATAAAGTTAAAATTATTTCAAAGTTAAATAAAAACTTTTATATTTACTATAAAGTTAAATACCCATTAGCGCATCATCTTGCATAACATATTGTGAAACGAATTTGATATCACCCGGTGCTCCATTAAGCAGAATTTGGCCGGATACCATCTTTGGATCTTTTCGTCCTGCTAAAACATCCAGTAAGGTTGACTTACCTGCACCAGATGGTCCCATTACTATTAAAAAGAAACATATTATCAAATTGTTTATGTTATGTGCGAGGAATGAACTAAAACCTTTGACAAATCACTTACTAGCCATAATTTCACCGGGTTGGACAATACCAGTACATCCAGTAAGTATGTTTTGCTTTTTCTTTGTTTTTGGATTGATTATTTTATAGCCTACATTTTTCCATGCAAGACTAATCCCGTCAGGAAGATCATATTTAGGTTCTACAATGAAAGAGATAAATTTGGTTAAAATAAAAAAATGCAATTATCCTTTGATAAATTAAGGTATTATACCATTAATTGATAATTTAATATCAGGGATTTCAGAGATGTATGATGCATCGCTTCTAGCCATCGAAATCATGCTAGTTCGAGTTGAAGCGGTGTAAGCGGTGTGAGCATAGGTGGAATACCTGGTGGGAAACTTGATTTCTGGCGCCGAATCATTATTGTAACTATTCTCCATCATCTGGACCATCTGAGCGGGCAACATTTTGAAGAAATTGGATTATGATAAAATAAAAATCTAATATTAGTGTCAAACTTTAGCGCTGAATTTTTTCTATTTTAATTTTTATTTCCCAATTTGCTTCATGAAAGGTACGTAAAAATTCAAGTTATTTAGTTTTTAATGGCACCGCATAACAAAATATTTGAGATCACAGTATCGAGTAAGTTATATATTTTTTCCTTGTAAATATTTACTAATACGTCTTAAGAATACAGTCATACATAAAAAAAATTCACATGTGATTATCCAAAGTTAACAGAAATAAACATTCAAAAGGTATGCCCAAAAATAGATATCAAACGAAAAGATTGCTAAGGAATATCATTTCAAAGTTGAAAAGTTGATTATTAATATTTATTATGTATTATTATTTTGCAGATTTTAATAACCGGATTGCAATAACTAGTTTTCAATTCCTAGACAAAAAATACTATACATACCGGATTTTCAGATCTACTCCATTATTTCATATACGAAGCGATCATAAATGAGCGGTAATAATTTTACTATTATCACGTGTATTACAAATTTAGAGTTAGAACTATCAGGGGTATTATACTGAAAGATCTACGTGCCTATAAAAATCACATGCGAATTTGCTAATGCCTTTTATTGTTGGGATATACAAAACGTCCGATCTTCCCGTTGCACCAATCGATATAGTCATAAATCAATGCTAAAACTTATAAATTATAATTTTATGCTTACTGTGAGCATCGATAAATTTTATGTATACTATATTTGTATATTAAATAACTTAAACTATATTAGCTTAAATAATGCGAGCTAAAACTTATGTACGCAATTGCCATAAGCATGCGATACGTCAAAAAAAGCCGGAACTAGTTCTGAGTTGGAACTACCCAGGAGGTTTAATGAATTTAAAGTCGACTATGGATGAAAATCTAACATTTAAACTATCTACTACAGCCGAGGATTGTCTAAAGCCAGATGGCAATTTATCAACTTAAAAACTATCTGGCTTTCGTAGATCCCCTAAAATGGCATATTTCGACTGAAGCGCGGAAAAGTTTAGCCTGAATATTAGAATTCCGAGTCAATCACAGAGTTTGAGTATTGCTTGGAGTTAATAATTGCTTCTAATTCCACGAGTACTGTGTAACAACACGTGCTTATTTCAGTCGGGCACATTACCAAAAATGGGAAATGTAGATCGCCTTTTTTATGGTATCGAAATACAGATCATTGATTCTTTTTGTTTCGGTTACAAGAAGCGAAACTGAGTTATATATTAATCAGCGAAATACATTGTAGATTTGAATAGAAAAGAATAGTAAAACTTATAAATTTTTTTGAGCCTTTATACGCATTGAAATAAAGGATTGATCCCGATGGGATCAATGTTGATCATGGAATTTTGAACATTCAAAACTTTATTTATTTGTCGTGGTTAGCTATTGCGAAATGCCACAAAATGTAACCGAATTTAGCAAAAAGTAGCCAATCAAATTTCAGTGGAACGATCTAGAATCGATTTCCATTTTTGGGGGTCGTCGGGCAATTTCACGTGATCACGGCCAATCAAATTACAGAATTCCTAAAAAATAGAAAAAACGGCAGTCTAAACCTACCTCGGGTAGGTTAAGTATAAATGTCGGGAAGGCAATTTTGCTTATATATAACAACCTAAACCCTAACCTAACCTTAATATAAGATGACCCTAACCCTAAAGTTAATTGAGAAAATTATTAAGAAATATGAGTCCCCCATTTTTGGCAATATGCCTGAATGTATTTAACAAGGTTCTGGGCTAATTTGTTTTCCCGCAAATTTAAATGGTACTGACCGAATGGTTTATAGACTAGTAAAATGGTGCAGTGCACATTAGTGATCCGAATCGTTTAGTTAAAAATCGACTAGTTGACAACTTTTCAACTAATCGATTTAGAAAAATTTAAACAACTAATCGTTTAATTATAAACTACAGTCGATACTGTCTAATTGCATGCCATCCGTCAGAGACTTTTTTATGCATATAGACAGTATATGCATTTAAATCTTAAGAACCATTTCGGTGTTATTTATGCGCTTAGAGAGTATATGCAATTAGACAGTATGCAATTAGACAGTATCTACTGTAGTTCAATTCCGAAATGTTGTATCTAGTCGGACTAATCTGTTTGATTTCTTCAGTTTGATTACAATAATATAATTTTAGGAAAAGCCAGAAGATATAATCACTATGATGATTCAATATCAATCACATATTGGCAAATTGAATTCAACTATTTCCACATCAATCTCTATCCATCACCTACATATATTTGTAAACTATATATAGGATATCCACTAAACTCCAACCGAATTAACAATACATGCATATTAAATATTTCAACCAATTTATCTAACAAACTCTTATGTAGAAAAACAAACAACAATACTTCTAACAAACTCAATCTGCATGCTAACTTACTAGACTCAATATACTTAATTGCTTTATGTAATCCAACTATAATACCAAGACTACCAACTGTTACAATCTATAACAATACAGTATTTGAAATCTTTAAGAACAACCAACCTTTACAAATCCTGCAACAAATAGCAATGAATAATACAACATACACACAACTAACATTCTATACAGATGGATCAGTTAGTAATATCACTACTGAGCAATGCACAATAGGCATAGGCTGGGTCTAAACAGCTAACAACATTATACTACACAATTACTCTGCTACAATTCAACTCTGGCCCTCTTCATACAAAGCTAAACTACTGGCAATCCTTTCTGCAATATGTACATACCTACAAAACAATAATATTACTATTTATACTGACTCACAATCTATAATATCTAAGTTTAACACACTTGCTCAACAACCATCTGGACCAAACAAACATACAACCTATATATTTGAGCAACCAACTCATAGATCTATCAAAAACATCTGTAACAGCCACATAATAGCATTATGGTCTTCTCAATACTGAATGGAAAATATTATACTTCTCACAACATAAATTGATTAGA